TCTTCTTCTTCTTCTTCTTCTTCTTCTTCTTCTTCTTCTTCTTCTTCGTGATCTTCCTGTGTAGGACTGGACAACCCATACATAGACCAAGCTGGCTTTGAACTCATAGAGATCCTCCAGCCTCTGCCTCCCCTGTGTTGGAATTAAAGTTGGGTGCCACCGTACCCAGCATAGATAAGGCTTCTAATGAGATTATTATACTACAATGTGTGGTTAGGTTAGACCCTTAGTAAGAAGGACTCTAGTGTCTTTAAGAAAAGTTTATGGAGAAATAAAGGAAGAGAGGGGAAGAGGGAAGGAGAGAGAGAACAGGAATGGCAATTGTATGAAGATAATAGGGGAAGAAAGTAATCTGTGAGGGAAAAAATAGAAGCATCACAATAAAATTACCCCTGCCAATCCTTTCATCTTGAACTTCTAGATTTCAGAAGAGTGAATAAATTCACTTAATTTAATTTCCCAATTTTGTGTTATCATCCTTAATTCTCTAAGTATTTTTCATAATCTTTAGATAATCTGTCACAATTGCTAATTATCTAAGTAGTACACTGAAAATTATTTCAAGTTTCCATTTTTTACTTATAGCTCTGTAACTATGCTGAATATTTATCCAATTAAACCAAAATCTTCTTTTACTGTTTCATTAATAATAGTTTAATTTTAATGAATTTAATGAATGGCATTTTTGTTGTTGTTTGTTTGTTTGTTTGTTTGTTTGTTTCAGACAAGGTTCCTCTATCTTATAACTCGGCTATCCTGGAACTTGCTTTGTACACTAGGCTAACCTTGAACTCACAGGGATCTGCCTGTTTCTGCTTCCAGAGTGCTAGGATTAAAGTTGTGTAACACCATGCTGTCTTTACAATAAATGTTATTCTTATTCTTTCTTTTACATCTGTTTCACCCTAAAACTTTCTAAAATCTAACAATTGTTAGGATTGTCAAGGTTGACAAATTTCAATTTCTGTAAATATTACCTTAAGAAAAGGCCCATAATTGGGTCCACTCTGAGCTCAGAGAGTCTCAAAGAGAGAGATGAGGGAAGGGTGTAGGAGTCAGAGGGGATGGAGGACACCAGGAAAATATGGCATACTGAATCAGCTAAGCCAGGTTCATGTAGACTCACAGAGTCTGAAGCAGCAATCTCTTTTGCCTTCTCTTGAGACCCTTTTTTCTCTTATTGGATTGCCTTGTCCAACCTTGATATTAGGGGTTTTGTCTTGTCTTATTGTATACTGTTTTGTTTGGTTTGGTTGTTGTGTCTTGGGGGTCTGCTCTTTTCTGAAAGGAAATGGGAGGGTGGATTTAGGTGAGAAGAAAGATGAGGTGTATCTGGAAGAGTGGAGAGAGGAAAAACTGCAGTCAGGATATATTGTATGAGAGAAAAATCTATCTTCAATAAAGAAAAGAAAAAAAGGGCCATAGAATATCAAATATTTGTTGGCGATGGAGTGGAAGGAAAAAATCATAGAGGAAACAAGACAGTATCATAAATCTGAGTAAGGTGTGTGTGGAAGTTTATTTTATTTCCTTTTTATGTTAGACATTTCTCCTAACAAAACTGTTTAATGTATCCTTGTGAAAACATGTGTGGAAGTAACATTTTCTGAAGTAAAATCAACTCAACTCTATTTAAAAGAAAATGAAGGCAAGCAGAGAAGCCTTCCTCTATAAGAACATGATGTGATTTACTTTCTATAAAAAGGGAGTCTCTTGACATGTTCAGCTGGTATTGAGGGGGTAATATCTTTCTCACTCAAGTACCAATGTTCCTAAAGGATATTTCTTTGTCTAGAATAAACTCAACACATGCCGTAAGGCTGGTAAAATTTTGTCATAGCGTCAGGAATAGCCTGTGAGCCATATTTGAAGATCCCTGGTGCCACAGAGAGTAAAGGAGATAAGTGTGTGCCAATAAACTGCAATCAGAACACCCACTGTTACTCAGACCGCCCAGTGCTGTGACAAAATGTCTAAGAAAACAAGGGAGAAAGGGTTTATTTTGAGTCAGAGTTTCAGTCTGTCACCCATGAAAGTAGCCAGGACCTAGAGTAGAGATTGCTTCCATGGTGGTCTTTCTCTGATCCTGACTGCAGCCTGAGGAATGGCTCCACCCACATGCAGTGTGGGATTCCCCCCTCAGATAGTCCTCTCTAGGGAACCCCTCACAGATACTGCAGGAAGTAAGCTTTACTTACTTGTTGGTACTCCTCAGTCCAATCAAATTGACAGCAATGACTCGGCGTGAAACCATTCAGAAGGAACCTTTAGAAATGACCAAACCCATCCAAAATCTTTGACTATTGGTTTTACTTCATCAGTTCCATTTGTTATTCACATGCTCAAGAAATGTCCATACTCAGAATGATGGTTTTAGTAAATCCTGGAGGATTGTGATATTGATATTCTCATTTTCTTTATTCCGTTGGCTGTGCATATGTGACTTCTAGTTATAAGATGATTTCAACCATCAGATTTTAATCTATTTGTTTTACTTAGAGTTAAAATATTTTTAACATATTCTAATTTCTCATTGTCTTAACTCCAATGTGAAAGTTTCATGACTTCAATATAATTTATCTTTAAATAAATAAAAATATATCAGAAATCAATTATATTTATCATATTTCATGTTCTTGTATGTGTACTTACCCACATTTTAAATGATACTAAAAGACACTTTTTAATTATCAGAAAGGGGCAAGAAGTAACTTAATATAACCATGATATTCAGTCATTGAATTCTATAATGTATTCAAATGTAATCCCTTTCACATTATTTGCATTTCTGTGTGTTGGTTTTTGAGACATGGTCTTTTTATGTAGTGTAGGTTTGCCTCACACATGCAAACCTTCTGTCTCAGACTCCCAAGTTCTGGGATTACAGCTGAGCACTTCTGTGCATGAGTACAGGTAGTCCTTGAATGTCATTTTCTGCATTGTGCCATTTCTGACAATAGAATGATATATTTAGACATTGATCAATCAACATGAGGATGTTTTGTCCAATGAAAGGTTATATAAAACACTTATATCAAAACCATGACCAATTCTACTCATTTAGAAATGAAGTTAAAATCTTAAAATTTCTTATGACAAATATCACTTGCTCCTAATTCTTCTCTTAAGTTATTTGTTTGGTTTAGATATTGCTATCATATGTGCCTTTTGGCTGGAGCTTTCCTCTCAGTAGCATAATGATTACCATTACTGTCCTCACGTGACCTTGTAACAAAGTAAGTCTGTTGCTTATGCCATTTAGGAACATTTTATTTTAGAGAACTTAATGTTTCTGTAGAATTTTCACATTTTAATACTTTGTTAACATATTTATTGGGACAATTAAACAGTTTACTTCTTACAGAACTCATTGGATGTCATTTGTTAAATAACCATAGTCAGTTATGGGAAGTTTGCATCGCTAGAGAGAACGATTCTTACATGATTCTCCACGAAAGACCGTGGTGTGGACTCCCCTTAGACCAGCAGGCAGTTTGATTCCAGATCTGGTGAGCTGGAAAACCAACCTAAAAACAAAACACAAGTATGCACTCACAAACAACTAAGAAACTCAAACTCTTAAGAAACCTTTCATACACTCAGATTGGAAACACTGACTCAATTTTAAAGTGTTTATAATGTCCAGACCCTGATAAAAGTAAAATGTTCAGTGTTGATCTGAAGACATCTCATGAAGTTATCTATTTGAACGCATGGTGGCGGTGTAGGCTAAGAGAATGAGTAAGGACCCTTCCGAGTCCTTGGATTCCGCCTCGCCTAGAAGCTGAAGCAAAACACAGAACCATTTGCTGCTGCGGCTAAGCGTTCCGGAGAAGAGGGGTCACCAGGAACTTGTAAGATCAAATCTACAATTCCACAGCAAAGGTTTTCTGAAGGCCAAGGTTACCTCCGTGGCTAAGAGCTGAAAGGGATTATCTTTCAAAGGGATTTTCCTTCCGGAATCAGACCATAGAGATGTCGCAAACAAAAGAGTGGAGCAAGGCAAGGCAAGTGATGGTTTTGATTACATTGATGCTCTTGTGGGAGGTGGGTTCGGACTCAATTCAGTATGCCATTCTGGAGGAGACAGAAAGTGGCACGTTTGTGGCCAACTTGACGAAGGACTTGGGACTGAGGGTGGGAGAGCTGGCTGCTCGGGGAGCTAGTGTGGTTTTCAAGGGGAACAGACAATATTTGCAGCTTGATGCACGGACCCAGAATTTAGTGCTAAATGAAAGACTGGACCGGGAGACGCTGTGTGGCTCCACGGAGCCTTGTGTGCTGCCTTTCCAGGTGTTGCTAAAAAATCCTTTGCAGTTTTATCAAGCGGCACTGAGAGTAATAGATATAAATGACCACAGCCCAGAGTTTCCTGCCAGAGAAATGCTCCTTAAAATATCGGAGGTGACTGCCCCAGGGAAGACATTCCCTTTGAAAATGGCGCAGGACCTAGACGCTGGCAGCCACGGCATTCAAAGCTACACTGTCAGTGACAACCATCACTTCCACGTACTCACTCGCAACCGCAGTGATGGCAAGAAGTTTCCAGAACTGGTGTTGGACAAGGCACTGGATCATGAGAAACAGGCCCAGCTCAGACTAACGCTCACTGCGGTGGACGGCGGGTCTCCGCCCAGGTCAGGGACCACAGAGATTCAAATACTAGTATTGGATATAAATGACAACACGCCCGAATTTGCTCAGGAGCTCTATGAGGTGCAGGTCCCTGAGAACAACCCCATTGGCTCACTGCTTATTACTGTCTCAGCAAGAGATTTAGACACAGGATCCTTCGGAGAGGTGTCTTATGTACTGTTTCAAGATGATGATGTTAACGAGCCTTTTGAAATAAACACAAAGACAGGAGAAATTCGACTGAGAAGCGCTTTGGATTTTGAAGCATCTCAGTTTTACCATGTGGATGTTGAGGCCATAGATGGTGGCGGGCTAACAGGAAAATGCTCTTTAGTCGTCCAGGTATTAGACGTGAATGACAATGCCCCGGAAGTGATCTTATCATCACTCACCAGCCCCATCCCTGAAAATTTGCCAGGCATCATAGTGGCAGTATTCAGCGTTTCAGATGCAGACTCGGAAAATAACCAGCAGGTTATGTGTTCCATAGAAGATAATCTTCCATTTATTCTAAGGCCATCTATGGAGAATTTCTACACTCTGGAAACCGATGGGGCACTAGACAGAGAGAGCAGAGCCGAGTACAACATCACCATCTCCGTCTCCGACATGGGCTCACCCAGGCTCACAACCCAGCACACCATAGCAGTGCAGGTGTCCGACGTCAACGACAACGCCCCCGCCTTCACCCAATCCTCCTACGCCCTGTCTGTCCGTGAGAACAACAGCCCCGCCCTGCACATAGGCTCCATCAGAGCCACAGACTCAGACTCTGGCTCCAACGCCCACATCACCTACTCGCTGCTGCCGCCCCATGACCCGCAGCTGGACCTCAACTCTCTCATTTCCATCAACGCAGATAACGGGCAGCTGTTCGCACTCAGGGCGCTGGACTATGAGGTCATGCAGAACTTCGAGTTCCGCGTGGCCGCCACAGACCAAGGCTCTCCAGCTCTCAGCAGCCAGGCGCTGGTTCGAGTCCTGGTGCTGGACGACAATGACAATGCGCCCTTCGTGCTCTACCCTCTGCAGAACGCCTCTGCGACCTTCACTGAGCTGCTGCCCAGGGCGGCGGAGCCTGGCTATCTGGTCACCAAGGTGGTGGCTGTGGACCGCGACTCTGGCCAGAACGCCTGGCTGTCATTCCAGCTGCTCAAGGCCACGGAGCCAGGGCTGTTCAGCGTGTGGGCACACAATGGCGAGGTGTGCACCACCAGGCTGCTGAGTGAGCGCGATGCCCCCAAGCACAGGCTGCTGCTGCTGGTCAGGGACAATGGCGATCCTCAGCGCTCTGCCAGTGTCACTCTGCATGTGCTGTTGGTGGATGGCTTCTCCCAGCCCTACCTGCCTCTGCCAGAGGTGGCGCGCGACATGGAGCATGATGAAGATTCACTAACACTCTACCTGGTCATAGCCTTGGCATCTGTGTCTTCACTCTTCCTCCTTTCTGTGCTGCTGTTCGTGGGGGTGAGGCTGTTCAAGAAGGCCAGGGCGGCCTCACTGGGTGTCTGCTCTGTGCCTGAGGGACACGTTCCTGGCCACCTGGTGGACGTCAGCGGCGCTGGGACCCTGTCCCAGAGCTACCAGTATGAGGTGTGTCTGAGGGGAGACTCTGGGACTGGTGAGTTCGAATTTCGAAAGGCAATTAACCCCTACTTCCCTCCTTTGGAATCTGAGGTGAAAACAGAGAAAAGTCCTACCCTTCGGAATAGCTTTTCATTCATCTAAATACTGCAGTGTTGTAGTAAATTCTGTTTAAGCTTAGAAATATCTTTAACCTGACTCTTCATGCAATTGGTGTATATTGGCAGATACTTATGGTATTTACTTTTATAATGGTTCCTGGAACTGTATGCAATAGTGTCTCCTGCATGTTAGGCAAACTCAGCCACTGAGCTAAACTGCCAAACTCTTTTTTGCTGTTTATTTTATTTAGTTTTTGAGGGTTTGGTTTCTGAGACAGGGTTTCTTCACGTAGGCCTGGCTGTCCTGGAACTTTCTCTATAGACCAGGCTGGCCTCGAACTCAGAGATTCACAGGCCTCTGCCTCCTGGGTACTGCGATTAAGGCATGCAGCACCACAGCTCTCACTGTGGAGCCTGGGTTGGTCTTGCTCTCACTATGTAGACCTGGCTGGTCAGGTTTAAACAAGTGATTAAATTCATTTTACTGAATGTGACTATTTGATATTACTGAATTTTGCAAATTTCCATTTGGTGATAACATTATCATGTGCACCTCTAAATATAAAAGTAAGGAATTCTAAATGCTAAGACACATACCTTCTGAATGCATCTTTGGGAGTGTCCCGGCATGTCTTAAAAATCAACACATATTTCTTGAATATAGATTTTACTGAACTTTCAATCCATTGAGTTATAGTTTGTGAGCCTCATATAAGAACAGTATGGTCTCTCACCATCAAGATGTTTACAAATATTGAATAAATATTTGCTGACTGTTATGACCATCCAGTAGTCCTTTTTTAAAAAAAAAAAAGAGAGAGAGAGATACTACAAAGAAATGTTAATATTCTTTCTACAGCAATTTGCCTTTGCCAATGAATGAAGGTTTTATTTTGATTTTATTTTAAGTTCAATTACATGAAATTTTAAACATTTGCATTTCATAAGGCTATCTTCTTTCCTTCAATCCAGAAAAGATCTTTCTGCTCATTCTAAATTCTATTGTTGAGAATAAAAATCAGGAGAGCACATTTTATCTTGCTTTTGTCTGACAGTTTGAGAGTTCAAAGTTGTTTTGTTCATAAATATAAATCTAAATTGTAGTTTCCAAACTTCTTTTCCTTTCTCAAGTAACTTTATTTTCTCCTCTAATGTTCAATGAATATCATTTATTAACTGCAAAGTAATCTGTAGCCACAGTCTTGTTTTGTAGGTATAGCTGCCATATTGTATGAAATCTTTTTTCAAATTTTTGTCAAAGGAATACAATTATATTAAGGTGATGTGTGAATATTTTACTTTTAACCTTAATTAAAGTGAACTCTAATGAGCAAAGAAAGCATTTACTATTTGGGATTCTGGGAAACTTTCCCTGTCCTTTGAAATCCATCTTTTTTTTTTTTTTTTTTTTCTTGAGGGGATTTGCTTCTTTAGCTCCAACCATACAGTTGTGGTTAGAACTTCAATGTTTTTTCATTATGCAGTTTCCACAGCCCCAAACTTGTGTTCTGCCTGGTCCCCTACCAGAGGCATGTAGGTCAAACCCTTCCCCAGAAGGATCATATTTTTACATCCTTGACTTCACTATCTTCTTCATAGTTGTAGAAAAGACCGTTGAACTCTGAGCAAGTACTTATAAAGCAAGTGACCATCTCCAGTCAGTTTTAGGGGTCACCGCATATAATGCACGTATGAAGGAAACTTCCAAAGAACATATATCCCAGAGACTGAAACAAACAAAGAAATCACCTTTTAGTTTCCCTTCAGGAGTTAGAGGCACATTGCCATTTGGAAGTTAGAAACTGTATTTTAAAATAATATTTAGTATAAAATAGCATTTTTATAATAAAATAAAAACGTTTCCAATAGATAAAAATTGTGTTTCCTTCGTGGTGCTATGGTGGAAAACTAAACGAATATCTGTACAAATAAACAAATTTTAAATGCATGACTGTCTGTGCAGAGCTTTGTGTACTGAATTTGCTCTTTCATAAGGAAGAAATATATATTTCTCTCACATAGCTGAGCTATCTCACGGCTGTCAAATGAGACTTGGGGGGGAAAGGGACCGAAGGAATTTAACTTAAAGGGCGGGCCTCATTTTAGCCCTCACAACGCCCTTCAAAACAAATTATCTGCAGTTGTACAGAAGAACGCTTGGTGGCGCTGCAGGCTAAGAAAACGAAACCCTGCAAAATGCGAAAAATCCGAGACTGTAAAAGCAGAGCCATTTCTTGCAACCGAGAAAGGAAGCTGCTTACGTTTCTGCCGATAGATAGAACCTTTCAGAGAGGGCCGATACACCGTGTCAAGAAACTTTAAAAAGAAAAGAAGCTCAAATTTATGAAGCTAAGATTCCCGAGTTACTCACAAAGCAATTCTTGGGTGATTAACTGCTGCATCTTTTTTACCTGAAGGACAATGGAGACATCATCACTCCGCAAGGTACTACAGAAAAGGCAAGTGACCGCCATTATTTTTCTGTTACTATTGTGGGAGGCAGGAGGTGCAGCCATTAAGTATTCCGTTCTGGAGGAGACAGACAAGGGCTCTTTGGTGGGCAACCTAGCAAAAGATTTAGGGCTGAGCTTGAGGGAGTTGGTCATCAGGGGTGCCCAGATCCTTCCCAAAGGGAACAAACAGCTGTTGCTGCTGGAACAGAACACTGGAAATTTGCTCCTGAAAGAAAAATTGGATCGAGAGGAGTTGTGTGGGGGCACCGACCCATGCATCCTACATTTCCAGGTTCTGCTAAATAGCCCAGTGCAGTTTATTCAAGGGGAAATACAGCTTCAAGATGTAAACGACCATGCCCCAGAGTTCACGGAAGATGAAGTTCTCCTCAAAATCGTGGAAAGCAGCCACCCAGGGGCTGTGTTCCCATTGACGATAGCTCAAGATTTGGACATAGGTAGCAACACAGTCCAGAACTATACAATCAGCACCAACTCCCATTTCCACCTTCTCACCCGCAATCACAGCGATGGCAGGAAATATCCTGAACTGGTGCTGGACAGAGCGCTGGACCGGGAGGAGCAGGCACAGCTTAGATTAACACTCAAGGCTTTGGACGGTGGGTCACCTCCCAAGACTGGGACCACCCAGGTTGTCATTGTGGTCCTAGACATTAACGACAATGCCCCTGAATTTGCCCAGGAGCTCTATAAGGTGCGGGTTCAAGAGAACAGCCCTGTGGGCTCCCTCGTCGTCACTGTATCCGCAAGAGACTTAGATGCTGGGGCACACGGGGAGCTCTCCTACTCGCTTTTTCAATCCTCCAATCAAATCCTCCGGGCTTTTGAAATAAATGCAGACAGCGGAGAGATTAGAGTAAGAAAGCTGTTGGACTTTGAGGAAATTCGGTCTTATCGCATGGAAATCGAGGCCTCCGATGGGGGAGGTCTTTCCGGAAAATGCACCGTGGTAATAGACGTGATGGATGTAAACGACAACGCGCCTGAACTCACCGTGTCATTACTCCTCAGCGATATCCCGGAAAACTCCCCTGAAACTGTAGTCGCCATCTTTGGAATTTCAGATCCAGACTCTGGAGACAACGGGAAAACAGTGTGCTCCATCCAAGACCATCTTCCCTTCTTTTTGAGACCTACAGAAGGAAATTTCTACACTTTATTAACCGAGGGCCCCCTGGACAGAGAGAGCAGAGCCGAGTACAACATCCCCATCTCCGTCTCCGACATGGGCTCACCCAGGCTCACAACCCAGCACACCATAACAGTGCAGGTGTCCGACGTCAACGACAACGCCCCCGCCTTCACCCAATCCTCCTACGCCCTGTCTGTCCGCGAGAACAACAGCCCCGCCCTGCACATAGGCACCATCAGAGCCACAGACTCAGACTCTGGCTCCAACGCCCACATCACCTACTCGCTGCTGCCACCACAGGACCCTCAGATGGACCTCGCCTCACTCATCTCCATCAACGCAGACAATGGGCAGCTGTTCGCGCTCAGGGCGCTGGACTATGAGGCCCTGCAGGCCTTCGAGTTCCTCGTGGCCGCCACAGACCAAGGCTCCCCTGCTCTCAGCAGCCAGGCGCTGGTGCGCGTGCTGGTGCTGGACGACAATGACAATGCGCCCTTCGTGCTCTACCCTCTGCAGAACGCCTCTGCGCCCTGCACAGAGCTGCTGCCCAGGGCGGCGGAGCCTGGCTATCTGGTCACCAAGGTGGTGGCAGTGGACCGCGACTCTGGCCAGAACGCCTGGCTGTCATTCCAGCTGCTCAAGGCCACGGAGCCCGGGCTGTTCAGCGTGTGGGCGCACAATGGCGAGGTGCGCACCACCAGGCTGCTGAGTGAGCGCGATGCCCCCAAGCACAGGCTGCTGCTGCTGGTCAGGGACAATGGCGATCCTCAGCGCTCTGCCAGTGTCACTCTGCATGTGCTGCTGGTGGATGGCTTCTCCCAGCCCTACCTGCCTCTGCCAGAGGTGGCGCGCGACATGGAGTATGATGAAGATTCACTAACACTCTACCTGGTCATAGCCTTGGCATCTGTGTCTTCGCTCTTTCTCCTATCTGTGCTGCTGTTTGTTGGGGTAAGGCTGTGCAGGAGAGCTAGGGAGACCTCGCTGGGCCCCTTCTCGGTTCCTGAAGGCCACTTTCCTGGCCACCTGGTGGATGTCAGTGGGGCAGGGACCCTGTCCCAGAGCTACCAGTATGAGGTATGTCTGAAGGGAGGTACTGGGACGAATGAGTTTAAATTTCTTAAACCAGTACTTTCCGATTTCTTAAATGAAGAGGTTTATAGGAACACTGAGGAAAATTCCAATTTTAGGGATTGTTTGGGGTTTAGCTAGGAATCACACTTTGTCCTCCTGTGATGACTTGGTCTTCACCAGTGCATATATAATTTCCCAACCTCTCGCTCATGTAAGGAAGTCTGTATTAGCATGTTACTGATAGTCATGTTCATAGCTGTTTCAAACTGTCCAGTATTCCTTGCATCTTTTATTGCCATTTTACACTGAAGTGTACAAAGTAGCCATGGAATGTTCTTTCTTGGTCGTGTTAGTTTTCATCACTTTTTTTTTTAAAGTCAGATGTTTTCAGGTCCCTGGTATCTGAGCTTGTACATTGATTTCTTGTAATTAAAGGACTCATGTTTCAAAAGTTCTGGCTATTGTTAGGATGAATTTAACATTACTGTAAAGGATGGCTTTCAAATTTTTTAAAGGAATTTTCAATTATGCAAACATTTTGGTGAGCTTCTAAGTCCCATGATTCTGTTGCATGGTGTACTAGCCCCATTTTCTTTCTTCAAATAAAGCATTATTTAATCGGGATTATGTTTCTAAATTGAGTATTTTTTGTCAAATTAGATAAAATTTAACTGAACTCTTCTTAGCATTCTGAAAAACTCTTACATAGAAATGATAGATGTATTGATCCACTTGTGACTAATATTTTATAAATGGCTATGGTGTATAAATGATTCTCATTCTTTTAACATGATATATACCTTGCATGATTAACACTTACACTGTAGGTACAATGAAGACACATTAGTATGCTTTCACCAGAAACTTTTCATTTGGTCAGCATTGTTCTAAAATATATCTACTGCAGCTCCAGGTGTAGCTCAGTGGGAAAAAATGTGCTCAGTATTCATGAATCCCTGAATCCAATGTCCAGAGCCAAACAGAAAAATAAGCAAAGCTCTTCATGTGAATGTGAGTGAGACTTTAATTAACAAATGAGAATAGTTCTCAAAGGGTGGATTATAATAAACTTATAACATCTAATTGAAACTATCATTGGCTGGAAAGATGGCTCAGTGCTTAAAAGCAGACATTCTTCTGAGGACCCCATTTGGTTCCCAGGGCCCATGTCTGTTGACTCACAAAAGGTTTTAATTCTACCTGCAGTGAGATCCAGTGCCCTCTTTTGGTACCTGTGAACCCACACAGAGAGAACTAATATCAATTAAGTAATTGATATTATAATTTAAATTTTTGGTGAAATTTAGTAGCCATTTGGTCTTTGGCTTTTCTTTGGAAAAAAGATTTCTAAATAACTGACAATTATTGCTGGCTTGTTAGGTTTCATTAAGAATTTGCCTACGAGGTATGCAGAGATAAAGACAGAGCAGAGACTGAGGGAATGTCCAGCCAATGCCTGACCAGACCTCAGACCCACCCCATGGGAGAAAGCCAAGCCCTCACGCCATCCCCTGTCATGTTTACAGACAGGTGCCTAGCATGACTGTCCTCTGAGAGGCTCCACCCAGCAGCTGATCAAATTAGATGCTGTGACTCACAGCCAATCATTAGGTGACCTCCAGGAGTTCTGTGGAAGAATGGGAGAGGGATAGAGGGGGCAAGAAAGCCACAGGAATATCAACAGAGTCAACTAATCTAGGCCCATGGGGCTTTCAGAGATGGAAGCACTAACCAAACAGCATTCATGGACTGGACCTACTCACCCTACACATGTGTAACCGCTGGGCAACTTGATTTTCATGTGGGTCCTCTAGTAAGTTGAGTGGGTGCTGAGCATGACATGGACTCTGTTGCCTGCTGTTTTGATCACTGACACCTGACAGGGATGCCTTGCCTAGTCACTGTGCATGAAGATGAGCTTAGTTCTGATGGGACTTGATGTCCTGGGGTGGGATGGGGGGGTCCTCTTTTCTGAGGAGAAAGAAGGGAATAAGAGGAAGCAATGGGAGGGTGGAACCAGAAGGAGAGGAGGGAGGGGGCTATGACTTGGATATAAAGTGATTATATAAGTGAAAAATAAATTTAAAAAATAAAAAATGAATTTGTCTGGGTTATAAAATTAGTTGCTATGTGCCTGTTCATAATATCCTTTCACTCTCCTTTGTGTTTTTATACTATAAGTAGTGATATCTCCCTTTTCCTTTCCAATTTTTGTTTTTTGTTTGTTCCTCTTTTATTTTTTGTCTATCAAAGTGTTTCTCAGTTTTTCAAAAAACAACTGACTCTTGGTTGCATTCATCTTTTATGGGTCATTCACCCTCTCACTTGCTTGTTCTTGCCCTTCTAGTTATTATTTTCATTTATTAATTTTGAACCTGGATCATTTTTGTCCTTTGAAACACAGTGGCAGATTGTTTATTCCACAGATTGTTGTTGTTTTTTTTTTTAAAGGCAGCACTGATTGCTGGATTTTCTTACCTCTTGGTACTACCTTGCTGTATCTCATAGATCTCAGTTTGCTATGTGTTCATTATCCATTTTTATATTATTTTTTCTTGCTTTTATTTGTTGATTAATTGCTCAAAACTGGATTGCCTACATGTTTAATTCTTTCCTGCCTTTTTTTAAAAGATAAAATGATCTCATCATGTACTCTACGATATCATGAAACTCACTTCATTTGCTCGGTGGCATTGAACTTGATATCCCATCTCAGCATACCAAGTGTTGGGATTACATGCTAATGTCGACAATCACTGCTTAAGTATTCTTATCTTTGCCCTAATTACTATAGTCTGTTTTTATTTTTTGCAAACTATAGTAGATCTTCTCCAACCACTTTTTTTCAGTCTTCTGATTAAATTATCAGTCTCAGATATAACAGTTTTTCTTTCAAGCAGCTCATTCTTATTTTGTGAGTGTTTCTTTTTATAGTAGCCTTTAAGTTTAAAATGCTTATTAGATATCCTGTGTGTGGTTGGGACTACTTAAGTGGTGATCCTTAGCTTAGGGGAAGTGATTTGTTTGGGGGCCACAGAAGAGAATATGTAATTCTTCTCATGGGCTCGTGTTATTCTCTAGAAATGAATTCAGTAAAGAGGTCAGTGGATGGGATGGAAGAAATTAAAAACTTGGCACCTGGCATTTTGAACTCCTTGGTATGGGGGAAGCAATGATAACCGGTGTGTAAAATTTCCACCTTTTCCACACTGAAATCCGATCTGTGTTCTTATTTTTGGTGGTTTTTCTCAGTACCTCAGTCCATTTTCTGACACTCAGAGGGATGGAGAAGGAAAGTCTCAGTTATAAACACTCCTCATAGAGATTTCAGTCATTGTCATTTTCAGTCTCACTCTGAACGTGTCATCTGAATCATTGCTTTAACTGTATTTTATTTCCCTGTTACTAATACCCTTTTTAATAGGGCAGAAAATAATGCAAATTTTCAATGAGCACTTGTTTATATTCTTTGCACCTTCCAAAAATGCATTGGTTTTCTCTGAAGTCTACTCTAGCTCTATTCTTTTTTTCATTAAAAGTTCATTTATTTTCTCTCTGTGTCTCTGTCTCTGTCTCTGTCTCTCTCTCTTCATCTGTGTGTGTGTGTTATTTAAATAAGGTTTAAGGATAAAATCAAGATAAACTGGTAAACCCAAACTGAAATGAATTTCCAGCTTCCCCATACCTGAATCATTCATGTTATCTCACGTCTTGTTCTATTTCAAGAGAATTAGGCTTTTAAGGTGGTTTGTAGGTGAACCATTTCTTGAATTCTTCCCTGACTGAGAACTGTGGTTTAGTTGGGTATGAAATTCTTCAGTCAACTTTCTTAAAGTGTGTGCTGAGAACCAAAGCCTAGTCCTCTGAAAGAGCAGCAAGTGTTTTTAACCATTGAGTCATCTCTCTACCCCCTCCTCAAAATACTTTTTTAATGCAAACATGTTTATTGGGTATACTGGAAGAACACAAGTGGGCTGTTAACTATAGTACAAGTTATATGTTACGTAAATACAGCGAGAAACATATTTCTATGTTCAGATGATAAAATTTCTTTTTTTGTGTAGTTCTCAACTAGGGAATTTGTATTGTGGGAAAGGGAGCAGTCTGTATTGAATTGTATACATTCTAGGGTGTTAGTATGAACTATGGTGAATGTAACTTCTTGTTCTAATCTAAGGCCCAACATAGGGCTCTGGGCTGCATGCCACTCTGTGGTGCCATTACAGTATGCCTGGCCTGGCTGCCTTCATCATTCCCATGGGAGTCAGGAGACTTTTAGGGAGACAGAGCTCTACAAAATGTGTGTTAATGTGCCTTCAAGAGATGGGTAAAGGTAGTTGCCACCAAACCTAAGAACCCGAGTTTGATCTTCTGGTCTCACATACAGTAAGAACTCAGACTCCTTGCAAGTTGTCCTCTGACAACCACTAAAGTACTGTAATAATGTGGGTGAGCACACACAAACCATAGCCCAAACTGGGGAGCTGACAAATGATTGACCTCAATACTTGTCCAGAGTAAGGAGAATAAAATCTGGACTAGATTACCGATCAACCTTCTTTCTTTGGAGGCGCACAGAGGGGAGAGGACAGATGGGGCGGGGGAGAAGGGAGAAGAGGAGAGTAAAATGTGTAATGCTGACCAGAGTTTCCAAGAAAGACAGCTGGAGATCTTGTTACATGCAAGAAGCGAGTGGAGATTAAATCTGGTCTGGACAACCAGTCAATCTTACTCGTGAAGAGGAGAAGGAGAGGAAGGATACTCCTCAGGCATTTTTTACATCAAATATTACGTTAGTTCTTCCATCATAGTTCCTCAATTGACTATAGTTGGCTGAACTTTAGCCTTAAGTGGTTCATTTCAATAAATACTCGTGAATACTGATGTAACATTTATGAATTTTGTTTGTTGAATTTTTATCTCTGTATTTAAATGATACGGATTAGGTAAGTTATTGATCCAAAATTGCTTTCCCTCATTATATACCTCAGTGGCCTTGTGTGTGAAATGTTTCTTAGCAGTCTGAATCCTCCATTCTTGACTTATAGGTAACTTTCTCTTTTTCCACGATGGGCATCAAAGCCAGCAAGCATTTTGCCACCCAGTATATCTTCACCCTTGAATAACTGTCTGTTATAGTTAATATTAACTGTTATTTTGACAATATCTAGACTCACTTAAGATACAAGCCTTAAGTTATGCCTGTAAGGTATTATAGAGGTTAAGTAAGACTTTGAGCATTCCTATTGGGAAATTATCTTTTGGGTTTGTTGTTGTTGTTGTTGTTGTTTTGAGACAGGATTTCTCTTTGTAACCTTCGTGGTTCTGAAACTCCCTCTATAGACTAGGCTGAACCCTAGAGATCCACCTGCCTCTGCCTGCCAAGTGCTGGGATTAAACCTTTGCACCACCACCTCCTGGCTGGAGGATTATCTTGATTGCATTAATGGAGCTAAGAAGACCTGCTGGCATCACATTTCTGTGCCTGGCATCCTGGGTTGGATAAGTGGAAAATCAGAGCTGAACTTCAGCATTCTTTTGTTCTTCTCTGCTTCTCATACTTCTGCTTCAGAAGTATGGATGTCATGTGACTAGCCGCTTCAAAATTCTGGCACCTT